CTGCAGCCTTTTGGCTTTCGCACGACGTTCATGTCGACGTTATCCACGAGGCCTCTTCCCTCGCTTAGGGCAACAACCAGCTGAACCTTCTTGTTGAGCTTACTTCCATTTCGAGTGGAAGTGCCTCGGCAACAGCGTCAGCATGAATGTTCCAGTAAAACCAATCGACAGCTGGTCAAAAGAAATCCGCCGTCGTGTTCTGGTTGAGCCGACCTTCGAATCTCTTTACCCAACACTTCCACACGAAATGGAAGTAAGCTCAACAAACATAAATTTTCCAACCACGCAATGAGTAGGTTTTAGGATACCATTGACCTTTCCCTACAGATTTTACCTCGCCCCGATCTCACATGCCCCCTCGACGGGACTCTAACTCGACTCGTGCACATCAATTTGCTATATTTAACTACTCCACCATACACACACACAAACACACACACACACACACACCAATGTCCGTTAGTCAGAGGGAAATGAGACTTTCGGGGCAAACTAGGTCTCGCCTTACTCAGTTTCTAGTGGAATAAGGCAAACGCAATACCGGTCTTAAATCTGAGTGATTACCAAAGTCTAACCTTATGCCCCGGTTGTCAAGACATAATGGCCTGAGCAAAAGTATGCTGATATTGCGTAAGTGCGGAAGTAACTCCGAGATGATGATATGTAAGTCAGGTTACGAAACGAGCCGTCATAGTCTGTCAGCTTAGGGTCATTAAAGTGCAACGAGCCAAGGAAAGATTTGATTTGGATTGCATAATCTCGTACAAATGGCTTAATTGATGAACTTAATGTACCTGTTGAACGAGTGAATGTGGTCAGAAGTATGACTGGGCCTTCTTTTAGACAGCCGCTCCATACCCTCACTCTTCATCAATTTGTCAATTTCAACCAAAGTTATTTACTGACTTACGCAATCTTTGTCATGCTTTTCTTGTGTCTTTAGGCCTTGACGACGAGGGCATGTCATTAGGCTTTAGTCATTTCTCAGATTTAGATCCTAGATCGCGTACATACACTAACACATGCATGCACAAGTACACACACACACCTAAATAAAAGTACCATGACTAATATATGAAATAACCAACTAATTCTATACCTATCTATCTATCGTTTTTCTAGTTATGAGTATATGCATAACAGTTAAAATAGAATCGGGCAGTCTGCTTGACTTGGTGCTTGTAATTTGCGACCTTTGCTAAAGTGAGTTCTAGCTCCGATGGCGCTTGTCAGGTGGCAAATGAAGGTTCAGCCCGTTGCCGCCCTAAACGAGGAAAGATGTCTCGCTGACAGAGTCAATTCGAAAAACACAACAACGAGAACCGGCCAACGAATCTCTTCGCCATGCACTTTTATACGAAATGAGAGTCTCTCTTCTTAAGACATTCATCGAAACCTACTTACTCTTCGTGGAATTATCATGGAATCTGAAGCTCCATTCGACCTGTGATATTCACTTCCCATGACACATTTTACACTATTTTAATGGAAAAACACTCATTCTCACTAGCCCCTTCAGGTCGTGAGGCATAAATTTGAGAATGATCTTTATCGGTTTTGGGTACCAAATAAATATCAACGTCGCCTACTCATCACAGATGATGGTAGGATCCGCTGTAATCTGTATCGCTTTTTCCCACAAATCTTGTCTGACTTCATTCACAATTTCGATCAGCTCTAATGAGACGACAAAGTGACAATAATATCAATTTATTAATATTATTATTATTATAGAGATTTTATGTATTAATTATTATAAGTAAGTAGAACAACGGCGAACTCTGTATTGATTAGTCAAGTTACTCATGACAAACTTTAAAACGAAATAAAGATGAGCTTAGCACTGAAATAGTGACTCAATTGGCTGAGATTTATAGACAAATATTATACGATTTTGTGGTGATTTTCACTGAGGAAGGGACTCGTAGGTCGGTTTTGCTATAAAATGATGCTTGATACCCCTTTTCTTAGGCGTTCTTTGAGTTTACTATGTCTTTCAGGTTGAGCCAGTCTATATTATGTCTTCCTCCAGTTCGGATCAAAGTGGACCGAGCCTTCGTTCATCATTCCACAGGACAGACAGCATCAGAACTGGATCGCATTCTTACAGATCCTTTAAGCTTACATCAAATCAAGGGAACTAGGAGGCTGCCTCCTTTCGATGTATACAAGGGATTGACCTTTTTTCGCAATTTCGTCGTGGTCTCAGGCAGACTTAGTTGGATAGACCTTGTTAGAACTCATCTGCTATCGTAGTTATCATAATTCCCAACGTCGGACCATGGGCTTGGTACATTCCCTGTCGTTTCTCCCTCCCCCTAGTCGGCATGGTAAATGAGTCTTGTCATTCTCAGCGCCAAGCTACAACTCGTCAAAGAGACAAGTGAGAATGGCAAGACTCACTGACGATGCTGGCGAAACGCCTGATAATGTACTAAGTACACGATCTTAACGCTGGGCATTATGATAACTATAATAGCAGAAGATTTCGGACAGGGTACGTCCAACTAAGTCTCTCTGGCCACGCAACCAAGTTGCGAAAATGAAGTCAACCCACTTCTAACAGGCGTTATCTTACCTTTTTTATATTCACAACTAAAAAATAACTCGAAATATGTAGATAGGCATAATTAGGCCTAGGATTATTTTGTTAATCTAACCAATCGACCTGCATAGCTTATTCAAGTTATTTATTTATTATTTTAGATGTGTTGGTGAGTGCCTACTTGTGCAAGAGCCTCATCAAAACTCGGCTACACTAAAGAAGTGGGCTGACC